GTTAACATTTTTATTCTCTCCAAAGAACTATCAGATCGTACTTTTCTAGATAAACCAGCGTCCTTATTACTGATCTTACACGGATGATTGTGAACTGTTTATAAGAACATTTTCAAATTCTAGATTCAACCTGGATATATATACTTAAGGTACTATAGTAATTTTAAAAAGAAATTTTGTATTTCAATTAGGTACCATCGACAGAACGTAAAGTCTTAAAATTGCACTGATGTTACGCATTTGCTTCATCTCACTTAACTTCACCGTACTGGGTTAAAGTAATAGTATCGGCCACTAAGTCAGATGTAACCTAAAACCCGGCACATACATGTATCGGTTCAAACTGCTAAACCTCAACAAAGCGAGATGAAACTACCAAGACATTTTAGATTAATAAAAGTATAGATGATAATATAAAGGACTATGTACTGGAAATATGGTTTTAACAAAAACATGTATTTGTGGAATAATAAACTATGGGTCCTTTGAGAGCTTAAAATATAAAGGGAAGACAAAGAGTGAATTTACTACACCATTGTAAATGATCCTGAACCATGATGTTCGAAGTTTCTAACCCCTGGTTACAATAATCGTGCGGGCCCAACTAAGTAATCTCCATCTAATCAGTGACTTCATAAACTGATTCCACGTTTACATTTATCAGCTCTTATATTTCTTTCAGCTTACTCTTACCCTAGCGACCATCGTGAGGTAAGCGGCAGTTAAGTATGCGTAATACATGTCCCCATAACCTCAATCAATGAAAATTTACCACCCTGTCAATGTATTTCCCCTCCTTACCTGGTACCCTCTGTCCAACCTCAAACTTTACATCGTTTCACTTAGAGATAACCTTCCACACGTGATCATCGTTATCCGGAATAACCTGTACCTTACCGGTCCGTTTTACTTCACATCGTCTTTCAGGTTACTGCTCTCTGTTTTCATATCTTTATGTCACATTACGCTTATGTCGACCAGGCCTGATCCTCATTTTGCCTACACCGTAATCTTTTCTATCTTGTCGTGTTCCATGCCAATTACTTTGTTAACATTTTTATTCTCTCCAAAGAACTATCAGATCGTACTTTTCTAGATAAACCAGCGTCCTTATTACTGATCTTACACGGATGATTGTGAACTGTTTATAAGAACATTTTCAAATTCTAGATTCAACCTGGATATATATACTTAAGGTACTATAGTAATTTTAAAAAGAAATTTTGTATTTCAATTAGGTACCATCGACAGAACGTAAAGTCTTAAAATTGCACTGATGTTACGCATTTGCTTCATCTCACTTAACTTCACCGTACTGGGTTAAAGTAATAGTATCGGCCACTAAGTCAGATGTAACCTAAAACCCGGCACATACATGTATCGGTTCAAACTGCTAAACCTCAACAAAGCGAGATGAAACTACCAAGACATTTTAGATTAATAAAAGTATAGATGATAATATAAAGGACTATGTACTGGAAATATGGTTTTAACAAAAACATGTATTTGTGGAATAATAAACTATGGGTCCTTTGAGAGCTTAAAATATAAAGGGAAGACAAAGAGTGAATTTACTACACCATTGTAAATGATCCTGAACCATGATGTTCGAAGTTTCTAACCCCTGGTTACAATAATCGTGCGGGCCCAACTAAGTAATCTCCATCTAATCAGTGACTTCATAAACTGATTCCACGTTTACATTTATCAGCTCTTATATTTCTTTCAGCTTACTCTTACCCTAGCGACCATCGTGAGGTAAGCGGCAGTTAAGTATGCGTAATACATGTCCCCATAACCTCAATCAATGAAAATTTACCACCCTGTCAATGTATTTCCCCTCCTTACCTGGTACCCTCTGTCCAACCTCAAACTTTACATCGTTTCACTTAGAGATAACCTTCCACACGTGATCATCGTTATCCGGAATAACCTGTACCTTACCGGTCCGTTTTACTTCACATCGTCTTTCAGGTTACTGCTCTCTGTTTTCATATCTTTATGTCACATTACGCTTATGTCGACCAGGCCTGATCCTCATTTTGCCTACACCGTAATCTTTTCTATCTTGTCGTGTTCCATGCCAATTACTTTGTTAACATTTTTATTCTCTCCAAAGAACTATCAGATCGTACTTTTCTAGATAAACCAGCGTCCTTATTACTGATCTTACACGGATGATTGTGAACTGTTTATAAGAACATTTTCAAATTCTAGATTCAACCTGGATATATATACTTAAGGTACTATAGTAATTTTAAAAAGAAATTTTGTATTTCAATTAGGTACCATCGACAGAACGTAAAGTCTTAAAATTGCACTGATGTTACGCATTTGCTTCATCTCACTTAACTTCACCGTACTGGGTTAAAGTAATAGTATCGGCCACTAAGTCAGATGTAACCTAAAACCCGGCACATACATGTATCGGTTCAAACTGCTAAACCTCAACAAAGCGAGATGAAACTACCAAGACATTTTAGATTAATAAAAGTATAGATGATAATATAAAGGACTATGTACTGGAAATATGGTTTTAACAAAAACATGTATTTGTGGAATAATAAACTATGGGTCCTTTGAGAGCTTAAAATATAAAGGGAAGACAAAGAGTGAATTTACTACACCATTGTAAATGATCCTGAACCATGATGTTCGAAGTTTCTAACCCCTGGTTACAATAATCGTGCGGGCCCAACTAAGTAATCTCCATCTAATCAGTGACTTCATAAACTGATTCCACGTTTACATTTATCAGCTCTTATATTTCTTTCAGCTTACTCTTACCCTAGCGACCATCGTGAGGTAAGCGGCAGTTAAGTATGCGTAATACATGTCCCCATAACCTCAATCAATGAAAATTTACCACCCTGTCAATGTATTTCCCCTCCTTACCTGGTACCCTCTGTCCAACCTCAAACTTTACATCGTTTCACTTAGAGATAACCTTCCACACGTGATCATCGTTATCCGGAATAACCTGTACCTTACCGGTCCGTTTTACTTCACATCGTCTTTCAGGTTACTGCTCTCTGTTTTCATATCTTTATGTCACATTACGCTTATGTCGACCAGGCCTGATCCTCATTTTGCCTACACCGTAATCTTTTCTATCTTGTCGTGTTCCATGCCAATTACTTTGTTAACATTTTTATTCTCTCCAAAGAACTATCAGATCGTACTTTTCTAGATAAACCAGCGTCCTTATTACTGATCTTACACGGATGATTGTGAACTGTTTATAAGAACATTTTCAAATTCTAGATTCAACCTGGATATATATACTTAAGGTACTATAGTAATTTTAAAAAGAAATTTTGTATTTCAATTAGGTACCATCGACAGAACGTAAAGTCTTAAAATTGCACTGATGTTACGCATTTGCTTCATCTCACTTAACTTCACCGTACTGGGTTAAAGTAATAGTATCGGCCACTAAGTCAGATGTAACCTAAAACCCGGCACATACATGTATCGGTTCAAACTGCTAAACCTCAACAAAGCGAGATGAAACTACCAAGACATTTTAGATTAATAAAAGTATAGATGATAATATAAAGGACTATGTACTGGAAATATGGTTTTAACAAAAACATGTATTTGTGGAATAATAAACTATGGGTCCTTTGAGAGCTTAAAATATAAAGGGAAGACAAAGAGTGAATTTACTACACCATTGTAAATGATCCTGAACCATGATGTTCGAAGTTTCTAACCCCTGGTTACAATAATCGTGCGGGCCCAACTAAGTAATCTCCATCTAATCAGTGACTTCATAAACTGATTCCACGTTTACATTTATCAGCTCTTATATTTCTTTCAGCTTACTCTTACCCTAGCGACCATCGTGAGGTAAGCGGCAGTTAAGTATGCGTAATACATGTCCCCATAACCTCAATCAATGAAAATTTACCACCCTGTCAATGTATTTCCCCTCCTTACCTGGTACCCTCTGTCCAACCTCAAACTTTACATCGTTTCACTTAGAGATAACCTTCCACACGTGATCATCGTTATCCGGAATAACCTGTACCTTACCGGTCCGTTTTACTTCACATCGTCTTTCAGGTTACTGCTCTCTGTTTTCATATCTTTATGTCACATTACGCTTATGTCGACCAGGCCTGATCCTCATTTTGCCTACACCGTAATCTTTTCTATCTTGTCGTGTTCCATGCCAATTACTTTGTTAACATTTTTATTCTCTCCAAAGAACTATCAGATCGTACTTTTCTAGATAAACCAGCGTCCTTATTACTGATCTTACACGGATGATTGTGAACTGTTTATAAGAACATTTTCAAATTCTAGATTCAACCTGGATATATATACTTAAGGTACTATAGTAATTTTAAAAAGAAATTTTGTATTTCAATTAGGTACCATCGACAGAACGTAAAGTCTTAAAATTGCACTGATGTTACGCATTTGCTTCATCTCACTTAACTTCACCGTACTGGGTTAAAGTAATAGTATCGGCCACTAAGTCAGATGTAACCTAAAACCCGGCACATACATGTATCGGTTCAAACTGCTAAACCTCAACAAAGCGAGATGAAACTACCAAGACATTTTAGATTAATAAAAGTATAGATGATAATATAAAGGACTATGTACTGGAAATATGGTTTTAACAAAAACATGTATTTGTGGAATAATAAACTATGGGTCCTTTGAGAGCTTAAAATATAAAGGGAAGACAAAGAGTGAATTTACTACACCATTGTAAATGATCCTGAACCATGATGTTCGAAGTTTCTAACCCCTGGTTACAATAATCGTGCGGGCCCAACTAAGTAATCTCCATCTAATCAGTGACTTCATAAACTGATTCCACGTTTACATTTATCAGCTCTTATATTTCTTTCAGCTTACTCTTACCCTAGCGACCATCGTGAGGTAAGCGGCAGTTAAGTATGCGTAATACATGTCCCCATAACCTCAATCAATGAAAATTTACCACCCTGTCAATGTATTTCCCCTCCTTACCTGGTACCCTCTGTCCAACCTCAAACTTTACATCTGACTGTCCCAACGTAAACGAACAATGCTTCAAAGGTATCTATAATCAATTGCCAACAACTTAAGAAAATTATCCTTTTTAAGGCCACATTTCACAGCCACAGAATAAAAAAGAGAGAACTTGCAGATGCACATCTCACCTATTCCACAAGTATCATAAGTTGGAAAAGGCCAATTGACCTTTTTGAATCCATACTTAGATTTAGCCAGGCATCTACCTACCAGGGCTGATAAGGCTTCCAAAATAAGTAAAACATTCGACGCGCTCAACTGCTTTGCTGCCCATTGTTAATTCGGATGTTGATGCAGACCAGTCTTAAAGCGACATTTTACATCCAGAAGAAACAAAACGCATCTCAAATATGTTAACATTAGGATTAGTTTCTGCGTTAGCAAATTGACCTCGTTAAATGCCACCAGAGACTTTAGATTTATCCTTAAAATAAAACTGCTTGAGTGAAGAAAAAAATCGCTTCATACCAGCTGCTCACAAAGATTAGGAGATAAGCATGTAAACACATGGTTAGTTGCCAGCATCATATAGTCCTGAGTTCATAGAACAATACAACTCGTCCCCGTACATGCCCATTCACTAAGAATTTAGTATCTCATGATATCCAGTTTCGACAATTAGCAACACTATTCATTATGCAAATGCCATAATACTCTCTGCTTTGTATATTTTTTTATTTCAGCTTGGTCAGTCAACTGTTTGGTATATGTTTCAAACTATTGTGTCAGCTGAAGCAACAACCTTGTTGTTACCACGTTTTCCTTAGCAACTCTATCAGAAACCGAACGAGAACTAGACAAGTCACCGCTCTACATAATGAATGTCAGTTTAAGACCCGACCATTCACTTCTCGACCCGAATTTCGAGTCTTACAAACTCAGTCTGCTTAAAATACCCATTTATGAGGCAAGTAGTCAAAATGAGATTTGCTGCAAACCTCTCAACGAAGTTTCTTCTAAACAACATCTCAAAGCATACAATAATATTAACTGTCTGTGCGTTAATCCATTTGATACCAGTCATATTTACTACATGAAGACTGATGGGTCTGTAAGTTCTTGACGTTGTTTAAACAAATAGCTTTGTAGTTAGTGTTGATAAATGTACCACAGTATCCGCAAAACTTCAACCAAGGAACCATTGTTTTCACACTTCCTGATTGGTGCGAACCATCTCATGAAAAATTTCGTAGTGTGTCGATCCAGTTTCCTGCGCTATATTATGTATCTGTGTATGATGGTTCAGGTAATCTATATCTCCTTAAGTCGGATATTCAACAAAGTAATGATTTACTCAACGTAAGTTTTCCATTTTGCCTTTTCGACACTTGGTTTTAGCTCTTTGTCTTTCAGCTTTTTGTATTCTGAAAAGAAATTAGCTCCAATACTTACTGTAGTTGTTTTTCGTATTAAAGTAGCCCTGTGCATGACTGGTTTTCAAATTTTCACTCTTAATCACATCAGTAAACCATAGGACTGAATAGATATTCAAACTAGTTACAAATTCCTGAATAACTTATGCGAACATTTTTGACAATCCATAGCCTTTCGATCATGAGCCATTTTGAGTCAACTGTGACATCCTAATTAAAATTTAACTCGTAGTATTTCACTTTATTGTAATCACAGTCGCGAAAAAGTAGTCATCTAACCGTTGTTGACCTAGCAAAACGTTTTCATTGCTCAGTCCCAAAATATTATCTAATCACTTCTGCTCTCTGAATATAGGCTGCATCAAAGAATAATAGTGAACATGGAGGACTCGAAAAAAACGTCTAACTGGTATAAGGTCGTGGAATACTTCTGTTCCAGTTGACATAAAATAAATAGTAAAATCAAATCGTTGATTTCAATATATTATGTTCTGTTGAGTTCTTATTGTGTTCAAAAACATCTACTTCATTAAGAACCATCATATGTATTTTTAAAAATATTACCGAAGTTCGATATAATAATTCCGAATAAATAATATACTCGGTAAGTTGGTCATGATAAAATAGCGACATATTGTAATTTCCCACTTAGTAGGAATTAGAATTTCTGACGTTTCTCAACTTAGTTCAGTTCGACTTTTTACAAAGTAAGTAAATAAATAACCAAATTAAATTAACACAGGTTTGAGTAGTAATAAGGACTAGACCAAATATTTAGTTCAGTCGAAATCAAAACTGTTCTGACTCCGTCATTAGTCTCAAGGTGATTCTGTGTGAGAAATCACGGTGTGTACTTGTGCGTGTGCTAGAGGTTTTACGAGGAAACTTCCCAAAATAGAAAGCATCCCATTTGGCAAAACTTATTCTATAGACGTATTTCTGTGTTGGTGTGAAAGGGATGCTTTCCTTTGATCTAAACTAAGTATTTCGAAGAGTATTGTTTACTATATAGAAAGTTTTAATTCTCTTTAGCTCCTAGGCGCATTCCAGTTCTTCTGTTGTATTATAGTAGCAAGATAAATCTACGATACTGATCCATGAAATTTCTTTTGAGTTGTTTAAAAATACATCGTTTTGTTTTAGTATGTTTTAATGATACTATTAGTAAAATTAAATCGTAAGGTGTTGGTATTTTATTTTTCTTTTGGCTTATTTTTTTCTAAGACAATGATCTTGTTAGCTCCTTTGAATGGATGTAGCGTCATGAAAGAAACAACTTAAACTAAGCGGCGGAACGTCGAAAATTCTAATTTCTTGCACTTATAATATCACAAATATTTTATTGTTTTATTGCTACATTTGAAGTTTTTTCAGAAAGAACTAATGCATGCGTACAAAATTACCTATTACAGGTTGGTCGTGTAAAATTGACATGACAAGTCATCAATAAGAGACTGAGTAAAGAATATGATCTCTTATTTCGTACACTAAGTTCTTCAATATCTGATTATTACCACTGTATACTAAAAGTGGTAGTGCTGATTCAACAATCTCGACTGTTCAATAAACTTAAAATTCAGATTCCTTTTTGCTTTACTCTTTATGTAGTTTTGTGTTCTCCCAAAATCTAATCTTCTGAATTCTTCGTGTCTCTATCTTTTTCTCTTTCCAAATTTATTTCACTGGATTATACTCCTTGAATAAAGTCCTCAAACCCTAATCTTTCACATAATGCTTGTACTCTTACTACTTTACTACTATGGGATTTGAATAGACAACTGCATCTCTGTGTTAATGTGGTATGGCAACTCGAACTGATGTACGTACGTACAAAGTTCTACGTTGTGACTGACTTTATGAAGTTTATGCTAGGTCTTTATCCACGCGTTTGTTGGAGATGTGTTTTCATTGCAATAAATTGTTGCATATGCATGTGAAAACTGTCAAACCAAAAAATCAAGCATGAAGTTCGACTGCTCTGAAGTCTTTATGTGAAGTGATCAGTTTTCTTGAAGTTTACAGCGTAATATACAAACTTAATAAACACAATTAACTTAGTCGCGTTGCCTGGTTTGTTCTTATTTCAGGTTGTTAGTAGAATCCAACCTCCTATACATGAGAGAGATAGTCAGCTACTAGACTGTTTACTTAATTCTGATGACACTTCTCATCAACTTTTTTTGGACTGTTTATTTGTTGGTGTTTCGAAAAAATCTGAGAAAGACCTAATATGTAACGATTCGATTTCAAATTATGTGACATATCTTGAATGGATCTCTTACAGCTCACCAGGTATGTAGTTACATTTTGACATTAATCATTCATGTAAGATACCGGTCACAATCTAAAACGCCACATTTTATTAGGAAGACAGTCCTCGAAAGCACCTGTTCTTAACAAAATTTGTCTTAAGATGAACATTTCACCACCCAGCTTTTATGATAGACACTAATTTAATCCCAACTATATTGATCATCTACACAATGAACCGTACGGCTGGTTTTATTAACAATTGTTTGATCAATAATTTGTTGTTAAATATTGTTCTGAGTAAACGGTAAGACGAAATTGTAAATGTTTTTCAGTGGTATATGTTTATATTTTCCGTCTACCCAACAACTAAAAGAAACTCAAATGCTTTAGCACATTGGTTCTAAACAACCGCAGTTCAAACTCCAGACGACACAAAAGAATCCTTCACCACTTATAGCATAGAAATTGTTATTTGCTCACTTTCCAATTCTTCATCATATTATTCGTGTATGGTGGTTAATACCCGACGTTTTACTTCATTATTATGTTCTATGTAATCCACTAATCATCGTTCCTCCTATTCAGTTTGTTTGATTCTCTTAGTAAGTTAGAGTAGTATTAATTTGACGTTCAGGATTTAAAGGTTTTCAACTTTCCGAAGTCAACCATATGATTCATACATAGGATACAAAATATAAACTCAATATTCCATTCGCGATGGCTACACATAGTCTCATCACTTTTACGTAATTAATTTCAAATAAGCGCATAAAGTCACACTTCTAACACTCACTATACGCCTTTGCGATGGAACAAACTGTGTCAGTTTGTAAACTAGTAAAAGTAACTTGAAAACAATACTAGTGATACATTTGCAATTCCTTTTTTGTCAACCTTTATGAGTAAAATATAAGTCAACAAATCATATCCTAACGTCCAATACTATGGAGAAACCATCGGTCCCTTCCCAACAATTCTTTTATTAGTATTCAATAGTCGTGCAACACAGGCACACAAAAATTGTCACTGATCTGCGGTTATTTTACTACATCATACCATAGCTTCAGTGGTTGATTTGTTCAACTTCCCACGATTCAATTAGAAAAGCAATTTAAAATACTGAACATCTACCGATCATTTGATGTACATCTTGAGATTTAAATAATCGACCCATAAGGAGGACATGATTAGAAAAAATAAAAGGTCGAAAAATATTAAAACACAACTATTTGAGTTACTCGATTTGCTTACACCTGGACAGTTGAGATTTGAAAAAGTGGTCCTACAGTTAATACCAATATAGCTAGTTATTATAATTTCTAAACGATAAATATAATCAAAAGTGTAACTTGATTCCCCGTATGACATTTCACTAGATGATAAGCGTCCATATTCTCTGCTCATCGACGTTGGCACCTTAAATATTCTCGTATACTAAAAGCATTTAACCGAAAACTTGTAAGTTGTTTTTTTTTAAACGCCTACAAAACACAGGCTCTATTGTTTTCATTTCCTAGAATCCAGCATATCTTGGTCCATAGTGCGGCACCAGAAATTCGTTGCCTCTTCATTTCCTGAGTTCGCTGCCTTCGAGGGCGATTGTTCAGCACTGCATATTTGCTCAGAAAAAAAATTTCATGCTATTTATGACTCCTGCAATCCATCTGTTTATGAAAACTACCTTAACAAATGTGAGTTTTGTGAAACGTTATGAGGGACTGGTTGTTTTCACACCTTTCGTTGAAATATGTAAAATGTTCTGAACAAATTGGGCATTTCCTTTACAAGGCCTCATGATGAAAAATGCACAACTGCTGAGCTGAAATGTTTTAAGCGTTCTCGTATAATTATTCGTCCATTTCCAGTAGTTAAAATAAGCATTCATAAATAAAATTCTCATTAATTCTGTATTATTCATATGAACCTTGATCACGACAGTTTTTGGTTTTCACATTTCACAAACATTCCCACTAAATCTTATGGAAAAGTCATATACGAAAAACAGCAATCTGTCACCTACATTTATTAACTTAACAAACTGTTATCAAGTCTTTTCTCGTGTCAGTAGATTATTTCAGTTAATGAGCTTGTCTTTTTAGTTCACATCATATGCAGCTTACCACTTGAAACGATAGTTTTTATATATTTTTTGTTAAGAACATTAAAAATGCTTAGTATAACGATACACCTAAACCAGATGTTAACCAAAATAATAGTTTTTTATCCCATTGCCCTACTTACTGTTATGTAGGACGAGCGTTAGCAAATCGTGCAAGGTGCGTACCATACTTGTAAACCGTAAGTGAACAAAAGGAGACCTCTCTGAATTTCATATTTTTAACCTTCAGATGAGGAATGAATAAATCTTAAAAGCCTATGATTAATTACTGTTTAAATATAAGCAAAGATGAATAGTGGCTAGCAGTGGAGTCCAGGACGCGCGTTTCGTCCTACTTGGGACTCGTCAGCTGGATTTACCCGCATCCCAGAGTTGCTATTCACTCCGGAACTCGAACCCAGTACTATTCGCTCTAAACATCATCGCGTTATCCACTTAGCTACTGAGTCCTGATAACCACTAGCTTTGGGAATGAAGTGAAGTTTAAATTCACTTGGTATTGTTTATTTGAATCTTCCCATTGATGTTTAGGACTGCAATTGGTCAGTCTCTTATCGACATATGTGCATACTGTACTGATTGCTTCGATGTAGCCTTAATTCACAAGCATTATAAACAAAGATGGATAGTGACTAGTAGTGGAACCCAGGACGCGCATTTCTTCCTTTTTGGCTATCAGGACTCAGTATCTAAATGGATAACGCGATGGCATCCGTAGCGAACAGTACTGGGTTCGAGTTAACATCGACTCTGGAGTGTGGACATATCCAGCTGACAAGTCCCAAATAGGATGAAACGCGCATCCTGGGTTCCACTACTAGCCACTATCCATCTTTGCTTATAATGCTTGTGAATTAAGACAATATCGAGGGAAAATTAAAATAAACAATACCAAGTGAATTTACTGTCTAATTAGTTTGTATGCCGTTTGAAAATATTATGATTTCACTGATATCCTTCAACTTTTATTCACTAAATAGTTTAAGGGTGGATACACGAACTTATACTTGAATGTCAAACTTTGTTACACTAACTTTCCAAATGCATCCGTTTCGAGTCTTTTCTTAATATTCCTGTTAATATATTGTACCATTTATTATGGTGGTATTTTTAAAGGTTATCAACTATGCTTTATTTTTAACACATGATAAATATGCCGTACAAATACCAGAAAACCACATTTCAGTGGCTGTTGGAAAAAACAATTTCTGAGGAAAAATGATGATGGAAAATACCAAAGGTTTTCCTTGTCACATCGAAACTAGTTTGGAATATAATACAACTCAATAACTACGTTATTTTACTAGGCTTGTGACGGCATTCAAATGATAACTACGGGCCTCACCCATAAGCGAGAATTGAAATAGCTGGAATAGAATTTCAAAATTTATCCTTGCAATTGGATATCAAATAAGTAATCCTCCAAACCACGGTCTAAGTTCGAACAAGCTACGTGACTAAGTTCACATTCACAGTATTAATACTACTAGTAATTCAGATTAAAAAACTGGTTTGTAGCTGTGGTTTCTTAGTTCTTTGAATTTTAACTATCTTCTCTATAATTGTTTTTCCAACCGTTAATATTTGCCATTCTCTACAGTTATCTAAAAAAAATTGCGAACAATCATGTTACTGAAATGGATTGCTCTATTGTATTTTAACAGATTCTGAGTCTAAACAAATGGATACAGAAGATACATGTATTGGACAGGATCCCGAGTTTTTTGTAACATGGACACAAACTAACGCCGATGAAGATATCAATTCTAGTTTGATCAGTGTCACTTTTACGTTAAATGGTATCACTCTTCCATCTTCATATGATTCCAATATTGTTTCTGTGGAAATCATTCCAATCTGCGAAGAGTCATCTAAGCACCAGATACTCCGCGCAAACCTGTATTCCTATATTGCAGTCAAGAAAACTAAAAAACTCAGTGATCGCCCTATCACACTGATTGATCAGATGCTCTATGAACCAGTAAAGCCAACATCCTCGTGGACCTATGATCGAAAAAATAACTCGTACGTCATTAAATATCCAAGATTATAAGTCCGGTCTCTATGCTTAATATTATAACAGAAGACGGTGGAGTAGTTGATTAGTGGTTAAAGTTCTCGACTTTCAACCAACATGCTCGAGGTTTATATTTCGCTACATTCAATTTAGTTTGGGTAGTCAGGTAGTCACATTAACTTTCACACTAACAAAGTCTCAAAGCCGGGTTTATAAACCCTATGCTTCCTAAATGAATTAATTCTAACTAGCTCTTTAATAGATAAAAAGTAATCGCCCTGTGAAGAACAACTTTCGAATTATCCCGCTATGCTAATTCGTCAAAACAATATATGCTCAAATTCATGCAAAAGATCATATACATAAAAATAGTTTGATAACTGTTGTTTTCACGGGGAATCACTACTCCTCGTAATTCAGATGATGATTTCCACATTCTGAAGATTAAGTGTAGCAGGAATTGTCCGTTGTACAGTTGATACAGCAAAATACACAAATAGTAGACATCAAACACGTCTCAGTTTGTGAAATTGTAAATATTTATATGAGTTTATGTCCGTCGAAATAGAACAGTTCGGCCCCATAAATAATAATAAAAGTAAGCTAAAAAAAGTTTTTTTAATACAGATGAGCCAGTCTTCTCGTTGTTTACGTAAGAACTAATATTGCGTGTTTCGTTTGTTAACTGAAATGTAGTAAAATGTCTCAATGCTACGAAATGTTTTAATGGTAAATTCTTACCTTACTAGTTAAAGTTGGTTGTTTCACATTTTATTACCTTCCTGTGTTAGTCTTAGATTCATTAAATTTAAAATACTAACTGTGGTTCTTATTTAAAGCATTGAAATACATATGACCAAACAGAATTCTCAGTATTGGCCCCGTTTGTTACTCGATCCACGTGAAAATAAAATATTAACTGAAATGCACTGTTCACATCACATTGGTCTGGATGATCAAATGCGTGTACAATCAGATGAAAAGGCTGATTTGACACCGGAACCACCTTTCAATGTTGGCCAGCTAGAAGAAGTTGATTTTCCAATGAGTGAAGATGAAACTGATCTTTTATTACAACGGTTCGACCATGAAACTCTCAAGTGTACTCATCAGGTATGTGTGGGGATTTATTTGCCTTGTGCCCGACTTCCAACCATTCAAGCTACAAATCCCTATTTATCTCGGTCTCGAAACCCTGTTAGTATCACCAGCCCTCACATAAGAGTGTGGCCCTAAGCGCGGGTACACAAATCTATAGGCTAATGACTGACATTAAGTTAATTACTAACTCGCATTGTTAAATCTAATATGACTGCTAAAACAAAGATATATGTCTTTATTTTGTCAGTGATAACAGAATAAGTTCAAAATGATAACTGATAAGTTAGGCATTCCCTTCGAGGCCTTTAAATACTAATTGAGCAAAAAAATATTCCTCTTCAGTTAGTTAGTTAGTCTCGGCCCCAAATTAAGATGTAGGTTTTATAATGAAATATAAAAATCAGCAAGCAAATGATGATTAGTCAATCAGCAATACCCATCTCAATAGTAGTCAGTTAATATCAGTGCAAAAACAGTAAGAACTGAAAATTTATGAGAGTAAAATTGAAATTAACCATATCAATATAATTTTTTAAACGTTATTTTTCAAAATAGCGGTAAACTAGGTAGTTTCATTAAGGTATTGTGTGAAAATGAAATTAGGGATTGATAAACGTTTCCGTAAGCAGGCCATCGTAATTTAGAAAACTGTTTTAATTAGATGGTATTCTTCGAACAGAGATTTCTCTTACATGCCTAGTGACCATTCAGTTATCTTAAATATATGCTTTGTACCGTTTAATACGATAACATCTGGCTACACTCTGGGATTAAGAACACCATAAGACCCACTTATTTGTGCCTTTTCTATTTCCTAGCTATTAATTTAATTACATCAACTTTTGCATGTCTTAAATATCATAAATGCGAAGTAGTGTTTCAACTTTACGGTAGAAAATTATGGGACGTGCATACTGTCAGTATTATTAGACTGTTGAAATTACTCTACTAATATCAAACCTGAGACAGTTAACACATACTGACATGCTTTGCTTCCTACATCTGACTTCAGGGGACAGTTCCCTAGACGTGTTGATGTAACAATTTAGGGTAAATTCCCAGTTATTTTTGTGCATAACATCTTTTTTATTAAAGAGCAGGCTTAACACGTCGAATAGCGACTTCGATCTACCCATATTACAATAGGTTACCAATTACATTGATTCACAAGCCTTTTCTTGTAACCGAAAAGCTCTCATAAATCATTAGCAAGAAATAAAAATTATTAACAATTTAGAGGGTATCATCAGTCAGGTAAGCTACCACTATTACTATATCACCTAGGCGTTCTGATGTAGTAATAGTGGCTGGTGATTTTAATGCTCAAGTAGGTAAACTAAGCGAAAGGGAAAGACACATGGGTGGATATTATGGTGTCGTGGCTAAAAGAATAGATAATGGCGACCGTCTATTGCAGCTATGCTCAGATAACCGCCTGTTTCTTACAAATACTAACTTTAAGCATAAGGAAAAACATCTTTTGACATGGCGACCCCCGAATCCGCCCCAACGTTGGACCCAACTAGATCACATTGCTATCAGCTACCGATGGAGGGGTTCGATAGAAGACTGTCGTCCATTCTGGAGCACATACTTAGATTCAGATCATGCTCTAGTGCGAGCACGTATCTGTCTGCTTCTTACTGGACGTAGGAAAGACGCTGCAGGGAAACCTCTAAGGGTTCTACTTAATGATAGGCAAGCTAAGAATATATTTCAGGAACAACTAGAAAAACGGTTAGGCAGCCATGTAAGTTGTGCCCATCCCGAGGCAGTGTGGAATGACATCCGAAAAGCTGTGCAAACAGCAGTGATATCTGCTAGTACGGTAAACTATAAAGTTAGGGAGAAACACTGGATCTCAGCAGCATCTACCGCACTGATAGATGTTCGAAAACTCATCATATATGGCTCTGAACATAACAAGAAGCGAAGTCAACTTAAGCGCAGGCTAACAAGAAACCTAAGCAACGATCGCGAACAGTGGTGGGTAATGAAAGCAAGAGAGATGTAAAAGGCAGCAGCAATAGGTAACATTAGACAACTGTTCAGACTTGTCAAGGAAATCGGTATTAGGAATCAAAATGTCAGCAAAAATATCCCTGTAAAAGATGGATATATTATTCATTCTCAATCCAAGAGATTAGATCGATGGGTAGAACAATTTAGAGTTCGATTCAACTAGCCTTCAGCCACACTTCGGTTTCCCACGATCCTCAGTCGATCTGAATGGTAAGTTAATGTAAGTCTCCCAACTCTTTACGAAGTTAAAAAAGCTATAGGAAATCTGAAGCGAGGGAGAGCGGCAGGCCCTGACAGGTTTACCCCTGAGGTTTTTAAGGTTGGCGGTCCAGCACTAGTAACAAGATTGACTGAGGTCTTAGGTAGAATCTGGGAACTGGACGTAATTCCATCTGACTAGTCCCAATAACTGATTGTGCCAGTCTATAAGAAAGGACAAATTCCTCTTGTGACAATCACAGAGGAATCAGTCTGACTAATATAGTGTCTAAAATATTAGCTTCAATAATATTTCGACGCCTAACTAAAGCTCGTGAAGAGCAAACTAGAGAAAACCAGGCTTGTTTTCGAGCTGGACGTGGTTGTATGGGCCAGATATTCACTCTACGTCAGGTCTTAGAACATAGACATATACATTAACCTCATAAAGGCTCTCTACTCGAACACAAATGGTCGAGTTAGTCTATGGCGAACGGTCATCAGAATTGACTACCTCAAGTGGTGTTCGTCAGTGCTGTCCACTCTTTCCATTCTTATTTAACTTTATCGTAGATGTGCTTTTAGAAATAACACTTTCCCCATCCAAATTCAGAGGAGTTGAAATTCTACCAGGAGACTCACTTGTTGACTTTGAATACGCCGATCACATCATTCTATTTGGTGAAGACTCTGATAAATTGCAGTCTTCTTACTACTATAAGCAACAATGCAGGTATGTTCGGGATGCGATTCTCCCCCTCGAAATGCAAAATTTTGCTTCAGTATTGGGTTGCATTGGCACCTGAACTAATGATAGGGAGTGAAGTAGTTGAGTGTGTTGACCGCTTCACTTATCTTGGGAGTCTCATCAACCTTTGTGGTCTGGTGTGTGACGAAATCTCAGCACGGATACAGAAGGTTCGTCAACTTCAGTCATTTATGGTGTACACGAGATATCCGTCTAGCAACCAAAGGACGAGTTTACTGTGCAGCAGTTCGTTCCGTCCTACTTTATGGCAGTGAAACATGGCCGGTAAGAGCAGAGGTTATTCGTAGGTTACTAGTTTCCCATCATAGGTGTCTTCGAAGCATTGCTCGTATATCCTGGGACCACTGAGTAAGTAATGCAGTTGTTAGGAAATACGTACTAGTTAAGGATGGCAAATCGATTGATGAAGTAATGAAACTTCATCAGTTGAGATGGCTGGGACACGTGTTACGTATGCCCAATCAGTGACTGCACCGACGTGCGATGTTTTATGGTGTAGGAGTAGGTTGGAAGGAAGCTAGGGGCGGTCAGACCAAAAACGTGCCACAAATCCATGAAGCCACTGACAATTGGAATGAGCCATGTTGGTAGGTGTAGACTACCTGGTTGGGATTCGCGAGATGATAACAACCGATGGTTAGAGACGTTGAATGACATGGCTCAAAATCGTTTGCAATGACGAAGGTGCATCCACTCTTTGTGTTCTCCTAAATTCTTATTTGAATTCTTCATGTCCCTTTCTTTTTTCTCTTTCCAAATTTATTTCACTGGATTATACTCCTTGAATAACATCTTCAAACTCAAGTCTTTCCGGACTACTGCTTATACTCCTACTACTTCTACCACTATGGGATTTGAATCGACAACTGTATCTCTGTGCTAATGTGGTATGGCAAGTCGAACTGACATTGATTGCTGCCTTCTTGTTCCTCCTTTCTTCAATTTTATCCAGTGTACGAACAGTGATCCATTCCTTGTGATGATGCTTCTTTTGGCCCAGAACCTCCTGACATGTTGAAACGATTGCCTCCTTGGTACCTTTCCAGTTGCTTTCCATGGTGGATCCCTCTCCATTGAGTAGATCATGAAAAGCCTGGAACCTGTTTCTGAGGGCTATGTTGAATTTGTTGAGTTTGTCAGCATCTCGAAGAAAGGCCGTATTAAACTTTTGTGATGTTGTCCGCGCCGTTTTCCAGTGCTTCTTAAGTTTTAGTTTCATCTTGGCGACCAGCAAATGGTGATCGGATGCTATATCAGCTCCTCTTCTGTTTCTCACATCCTGCATCGTCCTCCTGAACTTTTTGTTGATGCAGATATAGTCGATTTGATTCTGTGTAGTGTGATCTGGTGAAATCCAAGTGGCTTTGTGTATGTTTTTGTGTGAGAATATGGTGCCACCTATGACCAGTTTATTGAAGGCACATAGGTTTGCAAATCTCTCACCATTTTCGTTCCTTTCTCCCAGACTATGTCGTCCCATGACGTCTTCATATCCAGTGTTGTCCTTTCCAACTTTGGCATAGAAATCTCCCATCAGAATGATCAGGACCTTGTTTGAGCACTTCTCGAAGGTCGACTGCAGCCTATCGTAGAATTGGTCTTTAGCGTCTTCATCGTAGTCGTTCGTCGGTAAATAGCACTGGATGACATTCATTGTAATGCCCTCTCTCTTTGTTTTGATGAAGGCTTTGATGATCCTTGGTCCATCAGATTCCCATCCAATAAGTGCATTTTGTGCTTTTCTGGACAGCAGCAATGCAACTCCTTGTGTATGTGGGGCATTTTCTTCTTCATGAGCGGAGTATAACAGAACTTCCCCTGAAGATAGTCGTTGTTGTCCAACCTGCGTCCAGTGTGTTTCACTGATTCCAAGCACCTCCAGGTTGTTTTTTCTCATTTCTGCAACAATTTGGAAGACTCTTCCGGTCTCCCACATTGTCCGGACATTCCATGTACCTAGAAAAATTGTCGCTCTGGTTGTAAGAAGGTGCATCGGCCTCATGACTTCCGAAGGAACTCGGTTTTCATCATGAGACGTCATAATTATTCCTTCTACTCCCAGGGCAGAGTTTAAGTGGTTTGAATAATTTTTTCTGGTTAGCGTTTTTTAGCGAGTTGGTTTTCTACGGGATGGAGTCGCTAACCCCATGCCCAACCCTCCTCCTTTACCCGAGTTTGGGACCGGCAGTAGCCCCCGGAGGAGCCACAGGCGGAGTTGGGTGCTAGGTAAGGATGGTAAATTGATTGATGAAGTAGTGAAACTTCATCAGCTGAGATGGCTGTGACACGTGCTACGTATGTCCAACCACCGACTGCCCCGACGTGCAATGTTTTATGGTGTAGGAGTGGGTTGGAAGGAAGCTAGGGGCGGCCAGACCTAAACGTGGCACAAATTAATGAAGTCGCTGACAATTGGACTGAACCATGCTGGTAGGTGTAGACTACCTGGTTGGGATTCGCGAGATGATAGCAATCGATGGGTAAAGACCTTGAATGACATGGCTCAAAATCGTGTGCAATGACAAAGATGCATCTCCCTAATTCTAATCTTCTGAATTCTTCATGTCCCTTTCTTTTTTCTCTTTCCAAATTTATTTCACTGGATTATACTCCTTGAATAACATCTTCACATAATGCTTATACTCTTACTACCTCTACCACTATGGGGTTCGAATCGACAACTACATCTCTGTGCTAATGTGGTATGGCAACTCGAATTAATGCACGTACGTACGAAGTTCTACATTGTGACTGACTGACCAACTTGTACGGCCTGTCCATTTTTTACCTGTTGCATACAGTGAATTGACCCAGCAAGACTGTAGGTTAGACATCGTGTTTTATTTGTCGGAAAGTTGCGAACTATTCATTTACACTAAATAACCCGTAACCAAACCATTCTTAGGGTCAGAAATATGACTGGTCGATGAAGAAGATTTGCTGGGAGTTCAGGCTGCAACCTGTGTTTAGACAGATTTCCCAAGTACTCCAAACAGTAAGTGGTTAACTTTCCTCCGTTAGTCACTAACGAAAATGGAGCCTAAGTAGACCTGTCTTCAATATAGCTTTTTTTTTTCTGAAAACAACTAGATGAATCTGATGGGACGACTGTCATAACGCCCGTTATATTTTTTGGATGTGATTTCGTTACTGATACGAAAACATTTGCACTAATATTACGAATAACCAGTGTTATTGTTTAAAAGTAACCTACGCAATCTTTATGATAACGTTCTGCAAGTATTATTTTGAAACTATATTCCAGCCAAGTCACCTTTCTAAAAAAAATTATTCACGTTAGACCTAGGCTTCCAAGACCCATAAATTTAGTTATTTTTCAAGTCTCGCAATCCAAGCAGTCTCGTTTTCGCACTCACTTTTAATTGAATATTGTTGATACATGATTCGAACTAACTAGATAAACCTCTTTATATTAAGTTTGTTTAATAAGTGAATTTCTTTAATTTAGGCCTATTTATCAGGACATCAATGGTTGTTCAAAATCCGTTGTGCTACGTGGAAACCAAATGCGACCCATGCTTTCTGTATCCGTCATGATGTAGACGGGATAGTTTGGTTACCATTATGCCAGAATACAATGACAGAAAAAGACCCATGTGTATGGAAACATGTCTCAACTTTGCAAGCATTTGGCTACGTCCTTGCCAGTAAACGTGATAGTAGATTTGTTTCTAGTCCAGTTTTATCTGACGGATCTCCACTGAAGTTTGTGGCAGTTGCAGACTTGACAAGGAGAATCTACATATATTGTCAGCCCATATCTAATAATTCTGGGGATACAGAACTCCGGAGACGCACAACAGCTAACTCATCTTCCACACAAAAGCAAAAGATTGTACATGTCGCATCACAACACGTAGTTACCCTACCAACTAATGACCCAATAATTGGATTTGTTGCTACAGACAAACCCTATCCATCAGTTTTAGTATGCACGCAGGCTACATTGTACTTGTTATCACTTGATGGATGAACGTAAATTACTTGCATTATCACTTGTATTTTCGCCATAGTAAATTTTACATAAAATTGTTAACAACGTTTATGTTTGCAAATCGTACGCTTTTTGTAATTTTTATGCGTTGAGGAAAAGTCGGTGTAAGGAAATAATGTGACGGGATATATACCACTATAATCCTGATGGTCAGTGGTAAGAATCACGTTTACTTTTCAAAATTAGAAAGTACGTGGTCAGATAAATGTTTTTCTTGCACATTGCAAAAACGTTTAAATAACAAAGTATAAATCAGAATCTACGAAGTACCCATTAGTTCATAATAATATCAAAGCTATTGAAGTTGAACTTTTGTATGTTATATTGATTTACTGTCATTGTTTAAATTCAAAAGCTCTTTAATTAGTTATAGGAACTCTGTTGGACATTGCCGTTTGTAAATGCCGTAATCGTAGGGCTAACTTGTCGAGGGCCTGGTAACGCGCTTCTGAAGTAGCCTCTGTACTAAGCACCAAAATCTGATGTTCTTGGTCGATTCGCGCTTGTATTGTGTTGTCTAAAATGCAAGCCACTAGAAGACTTTCTACTTCTGGATCGCTTAGATTTAACCGTTGTGAAATGAAAGGTATGCGTATTCGGGTGTACGGACGAATTAATTTGATGAGAACTTCAGTTCTGATATTACGAAGTAAATCTTCAATGTGTTCGCGAATAAAGGAGTCTTCCATAATTGAATCACGTTGATGTCGTAAAATGGACTCGAATTCTACGATATTATTGTTCTGATAAGCTGTTACAAGACTTGTCATAGCCACGATCTGAGGATCATTTTTGTACGGCTTTGTTTCCTACAAAGTAAATTCAGTTTAAGGAAAATATGTAAATAATATTAGGGTAAAGGAAATGATGACATCACATAAGAACATGTGAAACGATGCATGTAATTACGAGCTTTTGAAGTATCGATCAACACTATAATCACTCAACCTCTACAAAATTGCTTTCAGGTAGTTACTAATCCCCAAAACAAAGGAATGGCAACTTTAAGGGACCCTCTATGATTCCGTTGGTTTGAAACTATGTGGAGATTATTATGATGCTTAGCATAATCAATATACTCTAATGGAGTTTTCGAAACCTAAAAACACTTCAAGTATATTGCCTTCTAGCAAAATTATTAGAGCATATTCTGGTTCAACACATTGAAGACAGCTCTTATATGATCTCAACCATTAGGGTTCAGACTCAGACCGAAAAGTACTACAAACACTTACACCAAAGCTATGGCTAAATACTAAGTAAACGTAACTGCATTTAGTAGATGAGTTACCCCATATTACATAAAAAGGATTAGTCCCTTGTAATTTATGTGATATTTAAGTAACTGAATGAGAATAAAAAAGTCATAAATGAATCGACCATCTGGTATAAACTTGGTTTGCTACTTAGGAATGAGCCTTTTACATATTTTGAATTTGCTTAGGACGAATTTCTATGCCTTGACGATTGTCTAACCCCTTGTGATGGAGGATTGTATACCATTTTTGCTTCGGAGCTATGCAGCACTTTCAGTTTGCTATAACTCTAAACAATTCAGTCACAGAGGAGTATGAGTTGCAACGTCAAGCACAATCAGATAGATTCGAAATATTCTGAAGTCATACAGTCTACAAAATATTCGGTTAGTAAATCTAGCAATCAACTTGCTTTTGACCATTGCTTTAAAAAATAAAAAAATAAATCGCAAACCTGTGAGTCGAATGGATTAATACCCGATTTCATCAACATGCTGGCCAACACAAGATACTTTAGACAGTGTGTCCTACGTTGACATCCAGATTCATCGTAGTTCTTGAATGCTTCGAAGAAGTCAGTATGAGATTTCGCATATTCTCCCTCGCGGAGATGCATTTTCCCACCACATTCTCGTATTATTCCCATTATAAGAGGGTGTGGAATGGCTGATTTGATATGCAAAGACTGTTCATATAATGCTTTGAGTTTTTTGTTGTTTTTTTGAGCTGTATACATTTGAATTTCTAGTGCGTAAATCTCTAGCAGCTGAGTTCCTTTCTTAAGATCGTCCTCTCCATCATTTGTTTGACAAGATTCACGTAACTCCTTAACAATCTTTTGCAAATGTATATAGTCACCACGTTCCAAGTAAAGTTTACCCAGTTTTGTGTTAGTTTTAAACCACAATCTTTCGTTTTTCGACTCGCGGAGAGCATCTAGAGTGGTGATATAAAACTGCTGCAACAAATCCATTTGTTTGGAGGTTGACACGTAATCCAAAATCGAATTAATGGACTTCTCAGAATAATTTCGAGTTACAGCTGACTTTATATAGGTGAGGAGGACTTTGTAATTTTTCATCATATTATCAAACCTTCCAAGCCTGAAATTTATTTTAATCATTTGCTTTAATGCTCTGAATCCCCAATCACCTTTATTCCCAGTACCTTCAATATCTAATACTTTTTGGAATTCTAAAAGTGCCATGTCGGGATTGTCATCTTTTCGTGACTTTGCCATGTAGTACTGATTTTCTAGGTCAACATTGGGTTCAGAATTGTCGTCTGACGAATATTCAACCGATAACTCCCCGTCATCAAACATATCTTCATTTCCGAACATAGCTTCCTACATGTATATGTGTGTATCCGATTAGACCAGTTAAATAATATTATAAGATAACGACAGGTTTTTCCATTCAAGCAAGTAATTAGTCACAATCTAAAACAAAGAAAGTTATATGCGTATAAACATGTGAGATATGTTTGCGTAACGGAAGTTGTGAAATAATGTTAAAACTTACCGAAAAAATGGCTCTCCTGTGTGGATACACCCAGTCCTTGACAAAATTCAGATATATACTAGGTTTATACGCTTTTGAGATTCTTATGAATACCCTAGAAATAAGTCTCCTTTCGCGTTAGGAAAATATATTCTCATCCAAATAGCGGAATAATTCCTAACCACTTTTACTATATGCCTTTACGTGTCAACACTTCGAATTCAATTTCTGAAATATTACAGTTTACCATTTCATGTTGAAATGAAATCACAACAAGTTTCAGGGACGTTTACAACCTCAACAAAGAAAATACAAGCAGGAATATCTACGTCAGTTTGGTCTAAAAGAAGTCTCACACTTGACGATCATCTCAACTTCAAATGTTATCACATCATTCTGCAGAATGTAATCTTAACAGCCATACGGTTGATCATTAGTTTATAATTCACCACTTATACATACGATGGTAGAATTTTTAAAGTAACCTCGTCGAAAAGTATTACCTCGCCGAATAAAGTCATAAATGATACTTAACGGTCGTAACTATGTTTGCACAGTGGGCGACTCGACAGAAACGCACTCACACTTGTTTCTGTTTGACTATGTGCCTTCTGACTACACTCCATTGTAACTTCAAAGTTTGTCTTCTCATGTTACAAAGCATTCAGAATTTTATTGGTTATTATGTGAAAATTGACTGGATTATTTTAAACAAATGACTACTATGGGGATTATAAACATGAAAAAAACAAAATAAGGAGAACAGAATGAGCATGTTGCTAAGACGGGACCATCTGTGAGTAAACTAAAGCATAAAAAAGACAACTAACAAACGATTTTTATTTATAAACCACAGAATCTCAGTCACAAATAGTTCATGGTCCTGTTTACTAGATAAGGACTAGAACAGGCTCTTGGGAAACTGTTCTCAGGCAAAAAATTTCGTGTTTGCTAAGATTATAGAGTAAATTACAGAATTTCTTGAATGTATATTGTGAATGACATCTCAAGATGACTGACATATCACATGTAGCAGAATATGAGGTCTGATCCACGTTGTGCTTAGAAAAAATATTCTGAAAAAGGACACTGACAGACAGCATATATGCTTAGTTCCGCAGAAATAGATAGACTAGTATACTCATCTATATACACTGTCATACGACAGTGACAAACAGTCTGAGACTTTAGAACTATTGACAGCAGTGTCCAGAACTGATAAAATAGCAGACCTATGTATGGAATTATTCGAATATATATGTTATTTGTCATTCAACCAAAAATCCACAAATTTGCTGATGAGTTATAACTGGATTTCATACTATATACATATATTAGGCACTTTCCGGGCAAAGAATCCATATTTTTAATTTATTATTGTATAGAAACAGGTTTCCTGTGGAAAAAACTAGTTATAAAAGCAATTTAAGGATATTTGGACAGTCAAACACAAAACAACTTCGCGCACTCTATGTAGCGAAACTTTGGAAATTACCTCCAATCCGGACAACCATCAGCAACAAGACAAATATACAAATTATCGATTGTTTTCAGATGATTATTATATTTTTAGGATGACTGTTATTATAAATCGTTTTTAAATATGCAGATATACAGGGCTCGTTATCATCATATGATGTCTCATTAAATTATTTATTCACCCGAAAAACAAAAAGCAAAATGTTTCTTTCTATAATGTTTATTTCAAAAATTTCAACTTGATTTCTTGTAACTGGACCAGAGAGTACATTGTTGTTTTATTAAACTTGTTCGAAGGCCTATGTTACTGCTCTGATGGTTTGGTGTTGAACTCTGCTGATTGCGTATGTTGAATCCGTTTTCTCTTGATAAACTTTTATAACTGCATGAAGAGAATTGTGCTTAGTATGATGATTTTGCTTAAAAATTGTGGTTTTATTGTTCATCAACGTATTGGCAGTTCTTTTATTTAGCTGATCTAGATGAAACTACCTACTACTCGCAAATATTCCATGGTTATATAAGGAGTGTGTAAAGTTTTTATTGCAGCTAGTCATCTATAAAGTTAGTCTCTTTGCTCATTCAGCTTTATCACATCACCATAAAATATGATCAAGATGTAACAAAATCGGTCGATGTGCCATTGTAGTGTAGTATGATATTCTGATTTGACGGTAGGTAAGCTCTTTTAGTCCATTTGTTCGTGTCTGATCTAGTCGTAAGTCATCTTAAGAAGGGGACCACTCCCAGTAGTCGGTTCTCAGTAGAGAAGCTGGTTCTCTTCATTATTGATCCCGAACTCCCTTGCTCTATTCCCTGAGTTGACTTGAAAGCCGTTTCCTATACATGTTTTGTTCTATATCCTGTGTAGTCATTGTTGCGGATTAATAGTTATCATAACCCTGGAACTACACCGTGACACCTCAATAGTCCTAGTTGACCGTTGTATCGATAATCTCATGTGATTAAATAAGATAGTCCAAAATCCTTGTTGTTGTATCAATGACATGATTAGCTTCGTATGGTTGTTATCTTCGGTACACTTGTATTCCCTTGTGTATTTTTGCTAAGTATTCAACACGTCTTTATATCAATTTGTTGGATGTTCCGCAAGCGCTTGTTCCATTCAAGCAGTGGGGTTAGGCAGGGTTGCCCGATCTCACCATTCCTCTTCAACTTTACCATCGATGACATTCTGGAAACAACTCTGATGGATGTAAGTAATGGCGGTGTGGATCTGCTGTCTGGGGTTTCAAAGCACGGGTTAACTGCAAGTTAAAAATATGTATTCTACTTAATCACTGCCTTATCAACTCGTTCCTATCTCTTAAACTTTCACATATTGCAAGTTGGATATTGAGGCCTAGCCAAAATTTATTCCGTTTAGCGTTCTCACTAATTTTGTTGAATCTATCAATAATATGTATGTTTCTATATTCAAAAGTTCAATCGCCTGTACAATATGTGGCTTTCATGTCATATGTAAAATGTAGTCAACTTTTAACATTCCTTATTTCTGGATACAGGGTGACCAGTGTTTATTATTTCGTTAATTAACATCAAACAGCGTTCACTTTCTGCTTACACGTACTATCTGTCTAATTTCATTTATCTACATAGTGGCTCGGCGAAGCAAAAATATTAGGAGAAATTAGCACTCTGATTATCTTAGCACAAATACTCAACTACTGGATCACATATCTAATCACTACTCTGTGTATACCCGTTACGACAGTTGTGTAGTATCACATTTCACCTTCTCAATCCAGTAGACTTCCAGAAAAAGTCACATTTCATTATTCCTAATAGTACTGCCTTTCTGGCGTTCGCCAGTTAGCGTCACTTGTAGGCGTGATATCCACTCGTTAACGAAAGTATATGTATACTGCTCAGCAGTTCGCCGTACATTACTGTGTTTGTAGAGCATGATCTATAAAAGTTGGGGACATAGATGCTGCAGGTTTTTGATCGTTGGTGTCTTCAAAATAGTACTCGAGTTTTCTAGTGACTAAGGTTTAATATAAGGTATTAACTAACAAAATTTTCCGATGGGGTCTTAAATCTTTATCGACTAGTATAGTTTGGGTATTTATGTATGCTAAATTACTGCTTATGTTGACGCACAATGTTCCTTTGAATAGGAGCAGGTTGAAAAAGCCTGGGGCGGGCAGACCAATACATGGATTTGCCTTGGTAAACTTGTCTCGTGCTTATGTAATATTGCAGGTGGTTTCCTTAGATGACTAAAGACGAGATATCCGTCTATCGAATAAGGGACGAGTATACTGCGCAACAGTTCGCTATGTTCTACTTTACGGCTGTGAAACGGGGCCATTAAGATTATAAGATACTCATAAATTACTAGCATTTGACCACAGATGCCTTAGAAATATTGCTCGCATCTGCTGGGATCACCGGGTACGTAATAGTGACGTTAGGCACAGGGTATTAGGGAATGATGGTAAATCAGCCGATGAAGTCATGAATCTTCATCGACTGAGATGGTTGGGCCACTTGTTACGTATGCCTGAAAGAGATGCGAACCCCATGGTAGCCGGTCATAAACAATAGGTTCATATGCTATCCTTTATGATCCTCGAGCCCATGTGCACCAGTAGTTTGGAATTAGGGTTTTCCAACTCTCTGTGACCGCCGACCCGGTTAATGTGCCGAACACTCGCTTTTCTTCCTCTCAGTTCCGTAAGCGACACCCCCGCCACTTCATTTCTTCCACATACACATAAATTTCTTACTTATTACTTCTAAAGATTACTTGACTTTTCAGGCTTTTAAGACGGTATTATAAGACTTGCTGTTATTCTTTTTGTAAACGGTTCATTTGTCTGATGACTCTCAAAACATGTGATCCAGTCGATTAGTTTAAAAAGTCGATGTAAACTTAAGTATTACTAAAAAATAATCGCACTATATAAATCTGGATATAGTTTACTTTCATCCTCTGTAGTCCAGTTTTTTAATCCTTTTCAGCGAAGTGACTAATTTCTCATCGTTAAACTTTTTAGCGCTTTCTTATGTGCTTATGGGTGCCTTCTTGGAAAAACCCAAAACAGAAAAAGTAGTTAACGTCGGGGAAGGAAACGGACTTCGATATGCCATTTCAAGCATGCAAGGATGGCGATTAGAAATGGAAGATGCCCATGTAGCGAAGTCCGAACTTCCCAGTCCTTTCCAATACTGGTCGTATTTCGGCGTCTTTGATGGTCATGCAGGATCTCGTGTCTCAGAGCTTTGTGCAGCCAAGTTGCTAGATGTAAGTTAGTAATCTGCTCTTTGATTCCGGTTACATTTAGGCTATTCTTAACACAGAAGAATTTCAGAAGCTTAGTTTTGATAAAGAGCTTGATACAACTTTGGTCAAGAAAGGCATCATTAATGGATTTTTAGCATTTGACCGAGATCTAGCATCTGATGATTCCGATGAAAAATCAGGATCTACAGCAGTAATTGCCTTTGTTACACCAACCCATATAATTATGGCAAATTGTGGTGATTCAAGGGCAATACTTATTCGCGACAACAAAACCATCCTAGCAACCCAAGACCACAAACCATATAATCCTATCGAAAGTCGACGAATTTCTGAAGCTGGCGGCAAAGTTATGTTGTCTCGCGTTAATGGGTCCTTAGCTGTCTCAAGGTAAATCATATTAACTTTCATGTTGTGTTTTCTCGGCTTCTACGCATTTTTAGACATTGAAGACCAACCCTTAGTGAGGCAACTACTTTAGTAGCTGATAAAGTTGTGACACCCTTCATATATTTTCTCTACTTATTTTCAAATGTATTAGATTTCCACACAAAAAGTTGGAGAAATAGAATATTTCGTTTCAACTCGAAGTCACAAGTGTTAATATTGTGCATATGGTACATGAGGTTTACCTCCTGTTAAGCCCATGTTCCCATTATATCTAAGTAATATTGTGCGATTCAATAATTTTACTTATAAAGTTGTAAATATTAAATACCACTTCATAATTCGAAATGTGATTACTATAGCTCTGTGTTTGCATGTACTGCGAATGAGCGTTCTCTTCTAAAAAAAACTCTTGGTGTTTAGTCCGCGTTGGCATTAATAACAATAGGTAGCACTATTTTTATTGACAGATCATTTATTATCAGAAGGGGTTTTGTAGAGATTTTCGTAATTTTATAGTTGAATTCATGAGTCAATTAAGGCTAAACCACAATGAAAAACCTGGAAGCACTGGACGGTCGTTTCGTCCTAGTTTGTAGCTCCTCAGCAGTGTGCATCCACGACCCCAGCCCGAGAGATTCGAACTTGGGACCTCTCAGTTCCGCGCACGAACGCTTAACTTCTAGACCACTGAGCCGGCATCCCAGGGTGTTAATGTCTAACTTCAACCAATCCACGAAATTAAGCCACCGTTCACCATTGTCTTCAGTTATTTACTATCTCATAACCGGCACGGTTGAACTGCACTGATCACTGCTTCTCACTAGAACTCCAAGAAATACCTCTTAAAGCCAGTCCCTTGTGAGCATACGATAATTGATACCAGAGGGGGTTTTGTTAAAACTTCAACTCACTGAAGGTAATAGTGAACGGTGGCTCGATTTCGTGGATTGGTTGAAGTTAGACATTAACACCCTGGGATCCCGGCTCAGTGGTCTAGAAGTTAAGCGTTCGTGCGCGGGACTGAGAGGTCCCAAGTTCGAATCTCTCGGGCTGGGGTCGTGGATGCACACTGCTGAGGAGTTACACACTAGGACGAAACGACCGTCCAGTGCTTCCAGGTTTTTCATTGTGGTTTAGTTTCAATCGACTCATGAATCCAAGTATAAGATCATTTATTATTAATTATCGTGACATGAAACGCGGTTTTAAAAGTAAGCAATGAAAAACGAAAATGGCGAAAAACGAATCACACTAGCTTAAAAACTATGAGAGTCCAAGTGTTTTTGGTTTAAAGAAATGGATGCCAGACAAAACTCACGTTTTCGTTCATTATAACTGATATATAAATCAGCAAACAAATATCTGATATTTTGTGCGTTTTGAAGACGTAGTTAATACTAGTGCATCGTTTAAGTCTAAAATTTGCTTTGAAAGCATTCGTAATCTTTGTATCCTCGTTTAAAATAACATTCATTCTTACTAGTTATGTTGGGGTTTTGTTTATCAAAGATGTGTGTTTTAATACATCATTTTTCTTAATTTACCTGGGTCTCATACGTATATCAGCATTGTAATAAAAGTAAGGTTGTCATTCGTTTTAGAATCAGTACAGCATCTACTGTTCGTCTCTAGCATTGCACGTATTTGTTCTAATTTCTGTACTGCATACTGGCAAGTCTTTTTTGTTTGTAATAAAACATTAATTAATTGCAAATAACTTAGGAGCGGAAATATTGTACAATAGCTTCATTATTACTATAAAATATGTTCATTCTTATTTCAAGTTTCTGATTCGGATATTAGACTCAGAATATTAGAAAAGTATGGTAAAGCGGTTGACGAGGTAGTCGTTCTTGGTTGACTAAGTTGGTTGCGATATGTATTACCTATGCTCATCCATGAACTACCTTGACGTATGATGATGGTTGATGTAAGTATAGATTGAAAGGAAGCTAGATGCACCCAAAATATCGTACATTTTCCCCATATTGTTTCATTTAATAAAACTCAAATAGTATCTTCAACTCTTAGTTTCTATTACCACTAATACTGTTCCTACTTCGAGATTCGCCATGGCAATGTCATCTCGCTATGCTAATAGGGTTTGTTAACTTGAACCAGTGCACATAAGTGCCAATCCTACTTTGCGTTTGGCTGACTGGTTCATATTTAGTTGCGGGAAATTAGATTAGGAGTTCTTGTAAGCTTTTTGGGATGTAACCCCTTAGGGGTGATTTGTGTAAGTGACCTATATTTTTATTGCCAGTGCTTCATAGTAGCTTGTATTTTTTGTCTGTAGATCTCTGGGTGACTTCGAATACAAACAGGTGCTTAATCGTGGAGCGACAGAGCAGCTTGTTTCTCCCGAACCAGATATATTCATTGTTGAACGCAAAAAAGAATTTGATCAAGTTCTTCTTCTTGCATGTGATGGAATTTGGGATGTGTTTGAAAACGACACTCTCACTACATACGTCCTTCATCGGTTGTGTTGCTTACCATCTTTGGCGGATGTTTGTTCAGAAATCCTCGACACTAGTTTGCACAAGGTTAGTTTGCTTACTGACCAGCGAACTACCATCGTCGTTGTGATTGACGACTGTCTTAGTTTATTAATTGTAAAGCAAACAATTTTTTACGTATAATGTGAAAAAACATCTGATTTTATCACTGCATTGCTACGTTCTTAAAAATAGCGAGATTAAGTTTAATTACACATTATTTAGATACAAGTTGAAATCAATTACACTCATGTGTTTGAATACTGATTACACAAACCCCATCACGAAATGAATTCTGTCCATTATCATTACGCTTTGATGATCGCAACTTAAAAATTAAAATTTGGAGCTGTGAAGGGATTGCTTTTAATTAGCAGTGGCAAAGGTACTAGATTCTGCTACAGGGACTTATTGCAAAACATACTACATTTCCGGTTTTATATTCACCCTGTTTCCAACCGTATCACTTATAGTTGTTTTTTCTCCATGTGAGTATTACCGTGTAAATAATCAATATTACAAGTACTTTGACAATAGCAACTTTCAATTACCAAAAATATATATCAAAATGCTGCTTAAAAACAAATCGGAAATATGTGTATTAACCACTATTTCTTTGAGCGTTAAATTGTTAACATAACTTTAATAATATACGTACAAGGGTCATCATTTAGTCCTAGCATGAACATAATAAATAGTGTGTCACTGTTCCGATGACTTACAAAGCAGATAATAAGCACTAATGTTTAACAAGAGAAAGGTATATTTAATGCTGAAAGATAGTTTTAAATATTAGTCTCATCGTACCGTATTTACTAGAATTTTAAATTGCTTATTTTATGGCCAGATCACCATCCTATCTGCTGAGTATTTACTTTTTCTCATCACAATTAGTTTTAAAATGAATAAAGTTTCACCCCTCATATATTGATTGTCTACTATTTATGATTAGCTCTGAATGATTCTTGCACGTCATTTACATGTTAGATTAAAAAAGTTGTCCTAAAATACACTTAATTTGAATTGCTTGGTTCTCAGTAGTCAACTGAGTAATAATCAGTTTTGTTAGTCTCATAAAATGAGGTAGGTGTAGACTACCTGGTTGGAATCGGCGAGATGATAACAACCGATGATTAGAGACCTTGATTGACGTTGCTCAAAATCGTGTGCAATGACGAAGATGCATCCACTCTTTGTGTTCTCCCTAATTCTAATCTTCTGAATTCTTCATGCCCCTTTCTTTTTTCTCTTTCCAAATTTATTTCACTGGATTATACTCCTTGAATAACATCTTCAAACTCAAGTCTTTCCGGACTACTGCTTATACTCCTACTACTTCTACCACTATGGGATTTGAATCGACAACTACATCTCTGTGCTAATGTGGTATAGCAACTCGAATTGATGTACGTACGTACGAAGTTCTACGTTGTGACTGACTGAGTCTCATAAAATGAAGTGAAATTAGAGTCTTTTTTACGTGATTATTTTTTTTATCATATTGTTTCTTTGTCACCTTGGCTTCTTCAGGGTAGTCGTGATAATATGAGTGTCCTCCTGGTGGCGTTAGATGCTGCCCCAACTGTGAATCCAGAGGCTGTTTGCAAAGAAATGGAGTTAGATACTTCCTTAAACAATATGATTGTTGGTAAGCTTACTCATCATAGCTATGTTTTTTAATAACATTTTCATTTGACCGCTTTATTGGTTGTTGAAAACATTCAAACACTTTGGATAAATACTTTTTCCTCTGCTTTTATGTCTTGAAATATAAATTAAAACAAACGGTTACACGTCGTTTAAACAAGTGAATTTATTTAGGACAGATGTTCAGTAAATTCACTTTTTTTTGTTTGTCGTAATTTACCTTAATTGAAACACGCGTAGATCGATTTCCTTACGATGGTATTTATTTTTTAGACCTACGTTGAGGACTCTCGGTGAACAAATGAAGCATGAAGTCTCAATATCTTCCTATCATACCAACCTGGACCTGTTTCTCATTATCCATTCACTCATTCATTCCATGAAATTTATTGTAAAGTACCCGATGTATTTAATTGGCAAATACAATACAATAGTACCGCTAGTATTATTGTTTTACGAACAAGATTACTTTTCTCTAACATTTGTTATCTTTTATCCTTTATCCACATTTCAAGTTCTTGATCACTCAATACACCTACAACTCATAAAATTTTAATCCACAAGGCGTTTCACATTGTCTTTGAGACAATAAAGCTCCACTAATAATTACCGATTCATTTGGGGACAGTAGGTTGAAAATAAAATCCAATCATTCTACGTTACGATTTAATCTCCCTTACCAGCCTCTATGCTAGATCAAACCTGCATCGTACTGTTTGCATCTCCTTCGTTTTATACAGTCACTCACTTTGTGTTTAAAATGTTTTCACCATAAACTGGTTTAATTAGCCATACAAACTAAATTAATGTGTATTTTAATTTGCATTATACACACTATAAGTCATTTGTTTGGATCTTAAAGTCTAGTTAATGTAACGTTCATATACTGGTACACAAAGTGTTTATGTGATTTACCTTTATTCATACTCAGATATAATTAATTCAGCCGGCGAAGATGCTAACTTTTTGAATGTGGATTATGTCGCCAGTGCAGTTAAAAGTATGAATCTTCCCAATTATCCTCCGGGTGGCTTCAACACCAAGTGAGCACCTCACTGATAGTTATTATACTAATTATTTGCATTGATTTGATAACTCAACATATGCATAGTGTTGCAACTAAAATATAAGCATGACTATTTAGTTCATAATTTGATCATATAAATACCTAATTGTTTTAATTCCAAAAGTGGTTTAGCTTAAATTATATTTCTCAACTACTACTATTAAGTATTAAACAGGTTCTGTACTTAATACCGCCAATAACACTTTCATTTTTATTCTGTTTTCCTGTAAATTCTAACATTTCAGTTCCTAGTAGGATAAAAAAAATTACGTGGTGTTGCATTGATTTACATCAGCACGACGGTGTGGAATTGAGTAGCAAGAGTTAAACTTTTGGTAGTGTCAGCGGAGGTGAGAAAGGTCAAGCATTGGTCAATACAGTTTAAAGAGTAGTAGTGTCGTTATCCTCTCACACGAAAATCTAGTTCTAAACAAAGTACTAAATCCTGTATTTCATAAATAAGTTTGTGTCTTATAATAATAATAGTAATAATTTTACCAAGTTCATGGATTATATCAAAAAGTTACTTATCAAAGTCAGTCAGTCAGCTACAACGTAGGACCAGGCACATATATTCATCGGTCCAAGTTGCCATATCTCGTTAGCGCAACAAGATGAACACCGGATTCATAAAAGTAATTGATTTAGTGGTGGTAGTATATAAAGAAAGGTTGTATAGAAGGATATAGTATAGGAAGGAAAAAAGTATGAAGCAATTTTAATCTCAAGGTTTAAGGGAAGATAAAGAGTGTATACGCCTACGCCATTGTAATCGATTCTGAGCCATGTCACCCAATGTTTCCAACCATTGGTTACGATAGTCACGCGGACCCCAACCATACTTATCAAACTACAATATCTAGTTACGATAAATATTTTAACATGTCAGAGTAAAGCAGCACAACAAATATTTTCTATGCATTCTAGACAAGTTCCATACGGTGACAAGAAAGTTTTTTGAAATCCATGTTTTATAGTCGGAAGATGGTTACTGAAATTTCCTGTCGTACCAATTGTTCCTCAGTTTACAAATTTTCTCTAAATATAGTTAGCCATTCTCTGTCCTTGCTTTAGTGGTAACAGAATCACTAATTAGCATAAATACGTAATCTGCGGTACTTCATAGTATTTATTGATGAGATCCCATGTTAGGATGCAGTATTCATCCGCTAAAATATGGTCAGATTCACCCCTCTATCTGCTTGCGTTTGGTACTGGCTATTCCCTTGAGTTCCTGTGACTGAATACTTTAACACTTTGGCTCATCCAAATGTACAATATGACGAATTTACTATTGCACAAAAGATCTTTTCAAGCCTTATATAGTTCTTAAGCTCTACCTGGCCAGTTCACTTATAGATTACATATATTCTCTCTTCTTTCCTCAAAATAATGGAATTAGTAGACGTTTCCTACTTTTCTATGTCTCTATCGCCTTTGTACAAGCTTGTGGATTGATATCTATTTTACGCAAAGCCTAGGTGATTTATAAGACCCAAGGTCTCCTGTATTACAGAAAAGAACAATTCTATTTAGTATCCATCTCGTCCTTGCACTAAGTACTTTTCACTTCATTTCATGCGAAACAAAATGTGCACTCAAGTATTCTTATAATTCCTGTATACATTGACTTCTCATTCTTACAGACAGTACTATGAATTCAAGTAGACTAAATCTATCTCTAGATTAGTTTTTAAATATTGCGATGGCTATTAATCATCCTCTCAACAAACACATATGAGATATTAATGTTTCAATCGCTGGACTCTAATATAAACCAAACCAACTCTGAATACTTATTAAAAATACACTTCATCTGTACTTGACTTATCACTTATGGAAGACTAAATCTCCGTTATACCAACGTGGAAAACAATAACTATTCATCTGCTGTCGCATGTTAAAATGGATTAAATTTTATTTTCCCCCTAATGAATATCTTTCTAGACACTTCGTTAAATGTAACTTAAACCCTTTATCCATCTGTTAGAAATTTCGCGAAACTATCGTGCATATTTCAGCAACACTTCCATAAGATTAAGTATCAGCGCGAAGTAACCACCTCCATTGCCATGTTAGTAGGTGTAGGCTACCTGGTTGGGATCGGCGAGATGATAACAACCGATGGTTAGAGACCTTGAATGACGTTGCTCAAAATCGTGTGCAATGACGAAGATGCATCCACTCTTTGTGTTCTCCCTAATTCTAATCTTCTGAATTCTTCATGCCCCTTTCTTTTTTCTCTTTCCAAATTTATTTCACTGGATTATACTCCTTGAATAACATCTTCAAACTCAAGTCTTTCCGGACTACTGCTTATACTCCTACTACTTCTACCACTATGGGATTTGAATCGACAACTACATTTCTGTGCTAATGTGGTATAGCAACTCGAATTGATGTACGTACGTACGAAGTTCTACGTTGTGACTCTGATTTTCATAAGATCTCGGTAGTTTTACTTCTCTTATTTCGTTCTTTATTCTTTCGGAGTCACGGTTATTCTATATTTAACCTTGGTATCTCACTTTGATTAGTTAAGGGTAACGGGTTAGCATCTCTTCTCATCATTTATCATATTTGGCTTGAAATTATCCGAGATGCTTAGTTGCATGAACTTCTTAAGTTCAATTATCCGTGGCCATGTATCTAATTTGTATCCTAATAATGTGATCGTTTTTTGTACTGCTGAGGTAAAAATAAATAAACAGCTTTTTTCAAAACTTTTAACTTCCTATTCTTAAATCAAATGTCTATTCAAATTTGCTTATTTTAAGAGGCAGTATATAGTGGCTTCTTGATGATTAACTCATCACTTGTGTACATTTCGGGAATGTTTAATTTTTACTTTATGATCTTCATATCGTTTTTATTAGTTTATACGTAATTTCCCCCTGTGATTATCCTCATGTCTGTGCAAAGGACGACAGATTATTTTCACTATATGCATCGCTTTTGATGTCGGTGTCACTATGCAGGTTAAATGTTTCATTGTGTTGCTATGATGTCCTTGGTTTTTATTGTCGACTTCGTAACCATCGTGGTTAATTTTCTTGAATTAAATCATTTTGAAATACTGTTAATACAACAAGATTTCTGTACATGTCCTTGAATGACCTCTATTAAATTATTTTTTAATTTTAGACGCGCATATGTTGAGAACTTTTTCAATACTCATTTTCGACAGAATAAGTAAGTCATTTTGTCACCATCGAGCAAGTTATATTTTTACAATATGAACAAGTTAGTTCAATTTCCTTTATTATTGATTTATATAATTGACACTATTTTACCATAGCTTTCTTAACTCAACTTCCTATTTATGTTCATAATTTTACAAATATATTTGGAAATTATAGGGAATTAATTACTGTCTATAATTGATGAAGTAAAAAAAGTCCATTCCTTGTCATAATCTGTTTATTACAAGTAATCATTTAAATTAATTTCAGTTAACTTGTGTTAGTATACAGCATATGTCTTTAAATATTCAGACTTCATTGATCCAACGTTTTTTAAGTGGTTATTTACAATAACATAAATTTCAATGTTTATGTAATACCAATCAGAACTTAACTGCTTTTTGGTTGTGCTCTGTAATGGTAACTTCGGTATTTTATAAAATACCTATGTTTAATCCAACAGTGTTTACTATTTTAGACAGGTCGTAAACTAACTAAAACTAGAAATTTTTTAGTCCACAAGGCAGTGGAGCATCGTAAGGAGATGCAGTCCCATGGTATCCGGTGACCGACGGTTGGTCCATGCGTCATTTGTTCCCTCAGGATACTGGAGTCCATGTGCACCATTGGTTTTGAAACAGGGTTTCCCAACTCCCCTAGGTGAACTTTCCATGACCACCAACCCGGTTAAAGCGCCAGACATTCGCTCTTCGTCCTCTCACTTTTGTGAACAACACCCCCGCCACGAGAAGGCAGTGAGTAGGACTTCCCTGGCAGAGACTGTATACTTGTGGCCGTGTGAGAGCATTTCAAGAGAGCGGGCGGGCCCTCCCCACTCAGTCGTACCAGGGTATTTGTGTGAATACACTCTGATAGGTAGTTTTGACCCCTAAGAAATATTTATTGATACACAAAGTGTTCGTTTTACTTATTATCATTCATTAGAGAACTTTGTTGTTATACATAATGACCAATATCGTGAATGTTTTGTCTTCTGTTTTTATGTCAAATCGACTATTAAGATCACTAATCCAAACTTCTTTACCAACTACAGCATTTTTAATTTTTTTTACCCTCTATTTCAACATTCGATAAATAACATTTTTCATGAATGTGTTACAAATGTATAGATATGTTATTTTGTGTGATTGTACAAACGTGCATCACTTTAATGTACACGATCGTCGTCAGAGAACTATCATAAGTAAATTTCCTTTAGATCGTATTTTGATCAAAAACATTTACACTTCTAATTGATTGTCAGATGATATTGAGATTTTATTATGAATGGTGTATATAACTTTGCTGTTTTATAATAACCTTTGAAGTAATTAAGTCAAAATAGTGAAAATTTTCGGCCAACGGTAAGTCTATGTCAGTGAAACACACTCCACATTAAGCATGGTCATTTATCATACACTTACTTCATATTATGGTGTTTTCATGTTAGTGACTGTAGATCCATTCCATGGCTTATTAAATCACTAGTAATGTTTGCTTCATAGTGCACCCCCAATTTTTTGATTATTTTTTAGAGTGTTCGCAAAAACGCAACTGGACGCTCAAAGTTAACAAAAATTCCGTTTTTAACCCTCAAAATAACGCCTAATGATCACTCATCTTAATTCATGTCTCATATCATTTTGGATATTCTTTTAGCATCATTTCTTTACAAACTTATTATACACTTAATTTTTCGCCTGTAATTTGCGCCATAATGGTATGTGTATGTATTTCTATTTAGAGACCACCCACATACAGTCGCTATGTATTTGCTTCTTCACTCCTTAATCTGTACGGAATTGTCTTTCTGGTTACCTGTCTTGTCTTAGATATTCTGTTCCAAGCAGTGTACAATATACTGTAGTTCACATATTCACTCTCACATGGAGTATTCTTCACTTCATCGTATAGAATACTGGGTACGTTTCAGTCATAATACTTCCCATCCCTTTGTATGGACAATTGGATCATGTTGTTGACTCGTAATTTCGTTTTATAGTAATCCAAATACTATATGCTCTTCTACTTGCACTGCCGAATAAGCTAAAAGAAGGGGAAATACACATTTGACTCTCTTTCCATGTGGTTTGCTATTCAGTCCACAAGGATAGTCTGCAGAAGAGTTAGTAAGTGATACACATCCGTATCGTCATTTGAGATAATATCATCCTGTATAGAAAGTAAAATATCTTATATTTCATGGGAAGCGATGTTAAATTAACTGTTTTAGAGCAAATTCCAAGAGCGTCAGTGTTTTCTTTACTGTAACTCAGATCACGTTTTACCCTTACAGATTCACAAGCTTCATATATCAAGTAAAAAATATATAGAAATGCTTAGTGGAGAAGTGTACAGAAGCTGCGTAGCACTCACATGTGAGAATGTAAGACGTATCACTGCGAGTTTTAGAATGACAGTGGTAAAAAAGGGTTAGCATCAGTTTTAGTCCCGATTGATTTAGTCAATGCACCTTGAGTCTATTAGACATTTATGTGACTTCATACAACTCAGTTCGCTGACTTTTTAAGAAGTGTATTGTTGCGTGGAATTACTACATCTGACCTTATCAAAAGCAACCTAGAAAACGCCCACTCGCTCGGACTCCTTGAGTTAGAAGGTTGAAGAAAGGTCGTGCTGCTTGTCCAGTTTTACAATGTTTCTTCAACTTCAGTTTTAGCTTGACCATCACTAATTGATAATCTTAAGCAACATCAGCTCCTGCTTTTGTTCTTACGTCTACGATTGTCCTGAACTTTTAATGACGCGATCAGTCTGGTTCCCTGTAGTTCTGTTCGGTGAAACATTTGACTTGTCTGTGTCTGTTGAGGAAAATGATACAACGTATTGTTGAAATCACAGGCTCGCTTGTACTAGTCCATGTTTCTTCATGAAGTCTTAATATACAGTGTTGTATATCCCGAAGTTGACGTTTAAGTCCCCCATCAGAATAGCTAGGTTTATCCCTGAGATGTCCTTTACAATAGACCAAGCCACTCATGGATTACGTACGTTGTAGTCCTTTCCCTCTTTGTTTTGGAGAATGCTTTGATGACCTCGGATTCTTAAGGTCTCCATCTTACGAATAGCTTTCACGTTTCTATGGAGAGCACCAGTCCAACTTGTGTTTGCAGAGAGTATTCTTAATGACAACCAAGATTACAGCAGAACCTGTCCAAAGCTATTGTTTTCTGTCCAGCCTGCGTCCAATGAGTTTTGATTATCCTAGATTGGATTGTAACTTTTCATTACCACTAGTCGTTTTAGTTTCTTGAACTGTCTAAATGAGATGGTACGCTAGTTATCAAAAAGAACGTCAAACTCGCGGCTTTCGAAGAATTTCGACTAACGCCATGGGGTCTCATGACTTCAGCATCTAGATTTGGATTGTCCAAATGTATTTCTGACTGAAATATTTTAACAAAGTTCACTTTTGTGAGGTGAAGTTGCTAAACCCATTTCCAACCATCCTTTATCCAGACTTCAGATCGGCATTAACCCTAGAAGGGCTGTAGTTGAAATTGTTTTTCTTGATGTTTTGTATGTTTCCTATGGCGACTATACACATACGTGTCAGGATTTTGTAGCTCGCTGATTTGACTCTGGGTTGTCTTATGAATATGATATATCTGCAGAGCTTCCGTTTGACTCCGTATATTACCTAAGTTAACCTCGCTTGTGTGATTGCGATAATTAGAAGCCGAATGCGGATAGCGTTCTGAGGACTTATTTCCAGCATTCGTTTATCCAGACAGAATGGGAGGCAGAAAGACAGCGGAGGGGAAAACGGAGCCAACTTGTTTTGATAAAGAGTAAGTCCATTTTTATGGTCAGACGAAAACAAGTTCTAGGCACGTATTGAATAGTGTCAGCAATTGACACATGTACACCCATATCGAAACAGCCAAGCTAATAATTAACAAGGTCAAAATGTGACTTCAAAAAAATGGATAACTCGGTCTGTCCAGAAGCCGGTTATAATGATGAACACCACGACCTATACTCAAGACAGCTCCAATGTGAAGCTTTTACTTCGAGCGGAAATTCTTTACGAATGATGGCCGTTATAGTAGCTCCGTGATGGTCAGTAACAAATAATTGTGTATAAGCAAAGATTCGTCTTTTATAATTGTAACCTGTTGCACAAATTGCTGATTGTTCGTCCTTGTAAGCCAGCATCGGTATGATTCGCCGTCTTTTGCTTTTAACATTTCAGATTTCGAAATGGACGTGTTTTGGAAGTCTACTTATGGTGTTTCCGTGGAATTGTTTAAAACTGAGTACATGGGTCTATGTTAACACCGAAAACTCTTTGTAACGGCAAGACACTATGGTTTTCTGTCTGCATACAGGTGCGACAATATATATATTATATTCAGTGACGGGATCTTAAAGATGACTTTCCCATAAAAGTTGTTCTTCAGGCTAAGACCCTCTGTTAGTTATGAAACTTTAGGGAAGATCGTATGTGGGTAATTAGTATTTGTTAGGTGATACTAAGTCCGACGAAAATTAGGTGCCAGACTAAGATAAATTACAATGAAAATAGTTCGTCATCTATCTTTTGAGTAGTCCTGTCGGACAGATGTTCTTTTACTCCTGGGTTTTCACAAATAATTGGTCTTCAGGAGCCGAGAATAGACTTCGGCTGCTCACTCAAATGTGTTGTATATTATCCGGAATTTCTGTTATCGTCTGGGAAAATGAAAAGCACTGTGAGCATGCACACCTCTATGTGACTCTCACTGCCATCTGCAATTTCAAAGCAAATTGGTATTTTTATGTTGATCTAGCGTTCATGAAAAAGTCTCAAATGTACAGCTAACATCTGTCCATATGGATAGCGAAAAATCCGGTTAGTTCGCCATCCGTATGCCCCAGATAATTAATCTATCCCGTATTGCACTCTTTCGTCCTAAAACCATGTAACTGAGGCTTATCTTTCATAACTGTTGTAAGAACTTGAAACTAAGTAGATGACTTTCTTTGGAACTAAACTTGAGGGCACAGAGAGTCAATTTCAGTATTCACTCTGACTTATTATTGTGCCTTATGAAGTAATGCCCCAGTTGTACAAACCACAGCTAAGAATCTTCACAATCAAAATCTTTTACAAAAGATTCTGTACTCAAACAATTCAGAATAACGGTATCCCAAACTCATCTACGGCTAAGATAATCTAACTGATCTACCAAAAGGTTTACATGTAAAGTCCATATGGAACGGAATTATTATGGACATGTAAGAATAATATTTTGGTCGACAGTGGCTGCTACAATATATGACCTAATCCTTAAATTGCACGTCTTCCGTGGTATGACTACCCAATATACACGATTTTGCATGGGAGTCACACCATTCTCTATACGGACTTGTCCTATCGTGACTGTCAGCAATATGCTTTTAAGATCCTTCGAAGACACATTTGGGCTGACCATAAAATGGTATGTTCAGTGTGAAAACCATCTCGTCCACATATATTTCCAACATGTCCCTCCTCCCTGACCAAGTGAACAACTTTCGATGCAAGCCTACTCATCTATTATACATTCAGCTTAAGCAACCGTGATATTAGGAACCAATGTTGTCACATACCCATTTAGACGGACATTCTTCATTGTTAGATGGAACGCAGAACCGTGTTGAAGAAAATTGTGCTACAAACTCAGGTTATACATATGCACCCCAGAGACTTTTAGATGTAAGGCGGTGAACATGAGTACTGAAGTATGTCATACAGAGGAAAACATGATGATGTATGTCCGGTATGATTCTTTTGTGATGTTTTGCTTTCTTTGTTGCCTTCGAAGTACGAACTATGGCGCTCGTTAAACCCGTGCGTATTAATAAACAAAAGTTTAACTGATAGAAAACTTTAATGATGAATGTAAAGGTTGATCTAAATATCATCACTGATAACCTCGGAAGTTTTTATTTGTGTTTGACGCGGTTTGTGTTGCAAACACTGTTTGTTCATTAGGAAGCTATTAATTTTCGGGAACTATTGCTCATTATTCGAAATTGTGTGAAATAAACCATCCGAAAACTTTAGCTGTCTGACACCGTTAATCACACCGGCTTAGGTTTTATTCTGCGCAGTTTACTGGTGTCGTTGAATCAGTTCATTTTGTTTCACGATATTTGTCTTCATTCAAACTAGTTAAATCGGATTCCAGAAAATTCTAGTGTTTCAAGTCTCGTGTCGGAAATTCATAGTCTTCGTTTGTTTATGTTTATTAATGAAGACAGGCTCATCTTGTTGAAAACAGTCACTTTAAGGGCAATCAGCCTCCTTGAAACCGAATACATACTCGCACATCTCCATTGCTCTGACTAACGTCGTTCCATCACAACAGGTCTGAGTTTTAATGCCAATTTTGATCTGAGATAACGTTTGGGTATATAAGTTACACAAGCATTTATCTAAGCTACTCTGATGTCGTGTCTTTCTCCAACCTTGAAATATGGAAATTGTTATCAATCTAGGCTGAAAGAGGTTTCTACAGACATCCTAAAATCTCCTAAAAGTTGAATGATATTCTGTTGGGATGGCTTCGGAAAGCACGACGAAG